GTAACTGAAATGAGACATCAAACAGAAAAATGAGGATTTCCTGATTCAGATCTTTGAATATGGTTCTGAGGAATTTCATTTCTTCCCTCCTTCTTCCCATCCTTGTGATTCTAACCAAGTCATGCAAACCAGACTTTTCTGAGGTCATCACTAATTGCATGTCCTTGAGTTCTACATGTTCAGCTTGAGACATAAGGACCTATGAGAAATTCTCTGCACTCAGAACTACAACTAAACTTACTGGAACCTGAACTTGAAAGACATGAAGAGCTGTATAACATCAGCTTCTTGGAAAAACTGAGTAAGTGTAGCAAGCTGGCACCTTAAAGTACCATGGATGCTTTGACCTTTGAACTCTTTTTCTCTAATCTGTCCTGCATTTGCAAAATGGAGGTTAAAATGGCCTTGATTAACAGGAGTGTTGCAGAAGCAAATTTAGGAATATTTGTGGCATGATCAAGTCCTAATCTCTAGTAATGAACAGTGTAAGAAATATTCACCTTAAAATTAATAATCTGTCTACATGTGGGACAAGGAATCCTGGAAGCAGATAAAACCTGAAACATTGGTCTTTAGCACCGATAACTACACTTGGTTTGCCTAAACCACAGTTCTGGACATTTTCCCAAAGGAGTAACCATCTTCTATTATTTGCATTAAGCAATAAAGTGCCCTTAAATATAAGAGCACATAGTATTGTAATTACGATTAATGTCTTAATGTAAATATACCAAATAGAGTTGGGTAGGTAAATTTAAAGCGTTTTTTTTTTTCTAAACTCTGAGCAATAGATGTTTCAGTCTCAATAAAGTTCTAACAGCATTTCATGGGCATAGTTCATTTAGGCATAGAGAGAGAAGTATTTATAAGATACAAATGTGTGTGTCTTGTATAATCATAATATCTGTCTTATTCACTAGTCTTTTTGTCATGTTTCCTCAGTGCTTCTCTTTCCATCATTTTGCCAGTGAATTAGGGGAATTCAGTAATGATTTAGCAGAGTTTTGAAAAAATAACCCARTCCTCTCCTAATCTAAAATAGAGTGTCTGAACGAGCAGGTCTGAGTGCATGTGAAATAAGGTAAAGCAAGCTTATGAATCCACAACTGAAATACAGTTTTCCACATGTATTCGGTGTATGGGACTCAGTGCAGTACACTTCTGAATTGTTTGTTTTTCCAGCCTCTACTCTTTAARGAGGGTACATTATATGTGGCGGTAACCACAGAAGCAGGTCTGCTGCCAAGAAAACATATTACTGCAGTTCAGTAATGTAGCCTAATTGTTTTCCCTCTGGTCAAGTTACCAAGAAATACTTGCTTTWCTACAGCTCTGCAGCAACAGTTAGTTAGATTAAATGATCTGCCTTCAAGAGAATTAGAGCYATTTTCCGAGGTTCCATTACTGAAAAAGGCTTCCTTCTTTTGCAAATTATGTATCCTCCTATGCAGGGTACTTTAAAAATGGAGATTTCTATTGAGAACAATCATTTTATGGTGAAAAATGTTCTTTCTTCGTGGATGTATTACATACCATACTGTGTGGGATAGCTGTAGGATATGAAATTATTTGCAAGTTACTAAGGCAATAAAACTACAATGGGTAAAAAGAAAAATTAACTACAGTGTGTAGGTCTGCTCATTCCTTACCCAGATTTACAGGACAACGAATGAAGAGACAAAGATTGGCCAGTGTTCCTKGATGCAGTAATTATCTTCCTTCCATATCAGGAGACAATGAATCTGAAGTCATGAAGGGTCGGGGATTAGAGGAATTACTCTGTATTCCCCMTTTACAGTGAGTTTTCTGAGCTCCCTTAGGGCTCAGTGTGGAGTTTCACCCAGCAAAGAATTTCACTTTTTTGGCACAGTCGAGAGCCTTAGAAAGTGTGAAGATATTCTCAGCACTCTCAGATCTAAGTGAAACAAATTAGCTTATCAGTCTCTGGTGGAAAGCTGAAGATTGTTTCTTTACTTATCTCTAAATAACCTACTATTAAGCTAAATTTGATAGAGAGGAAAATTCTGTCATCTGAGAAAAATTTTATAAAGCCTGTGAATCAAATACAATTTTCTATAATTGGTCTAATGAGCTGAAAAGGGCTGTTCTTCAGTCAGCAGTGTAATTTAGAAGGCCCTGCTTTGCTGATTCTATATATGGAAACTGATCTATCGATCTGATCTGCTAATTGAAAAAGCTAACAAAATAGACTGAAGAGAAAGGATTGTGTGAGGTAGAGATAATAGAAATAATTTAAATATTTTATATTGATTTAAAAGAAGTGCAATTAAGTCTTGCTGGTAATTAGTAATTTATTTTTTTCTACCAGGATAAATACATTGTGCCTCAACATAATTACTCACAAAGCAGAGTACAAAGCAAAATTGGCTAACAATCTACAGGCCTTTCCTAGGAGGTGAAATGAAATATAACTTAAAAAGAATTTGGGGTTACGTGAAGATTCTGTTGACAGGAATGTGCAACTTGACCTGTCCTGTGTGGTGCACAGGGAAATCTCATGTCTGAGTCGCAAGAGGTGAATCCACAACTGAAAGGAGTGGGACCTCCAGAAACTGTTCACAGGGAAGAGATGAAATCAGCTCTGCAAGGCCCTGGTTGCTCTGTTTCTTGGGGTACAGAGCTGTCTCTGCGCCTTCTTTTAGACTTCTGCCAGCCATTTGCACCCATTTCTGTCATATTATGGGGTGTAGGCTTGAGAGAATCATTTTGATTGTCTTCATGTTATGGACAGACTTGGGAGCTACTGCCTGGTGTTTAAAGGATACAAATGAGCTGCCTGAAGAGAGCTACAATACAATGAAGTCATATTGAACTTGCACTTATAAAATATGCACTTCATGGCTCATTTTCAAGCCTTTGTAACCCCTCTTTATTGAGTAATTTTCCTTTCAAGAAACCTCATGAAAACTCCTGAAATAAGTAAAATAATAATATATTTTCCAAGAAAAAAATAATTATTTACAACAGATCCCTTTGTGAGTGTATGCACATACAATTTTATCAGCAGCTTTTGCAACTCAGTTATGCCCATTTTCAATRTACTGTGTGAAAAAAACCTGTAGACTCACCTTGATTTTCCTAATTATATATGTAAGCTAGACCCACTAGAACCACTAAAATCCAGAAGTTTTGCCATCATATTCAATGCAAAAACAAACCAAAGAGTGGGTTCACCAGGAATTTAGGACAACACGCAGTTGGTCTTTTTTTGCTATTGACAAACAGCATTGGAAAATCTTAAACAAGATTTTTTATGAACCTTTCAGCACTCTGAGTTGTATTTCATCTTGGGTGTAGCCAGAAATAAGTAGGTTTCACCAGTAGGTTTATTTCAGCCTTTTAGTTTTCTCTGCTTGGAAGACAAGGACTTTGGGATGGTGTAAGCTTCTGTTAGTAATCAATGTGTTCCTGCTGGTAAATTTATTTGCTCTAATTAAGTTTTCTAAAAATTTAAAAATCTCCATGGTGTGGTTCTTGAAGTACTAGGTCAGCTGAGGCCCTTTAATTAGGAAAAAATTGCTAATGGGGTACTGTTGAAGAGGAGAACCCAGCACCAAATTTGTCTTTTTAATTGGCCTGACAGTCATAGTCCTACTTTGTTATTCAGTGCTTCAGACCTAAGAAAAATTCTAGGCAAATGTTTTGAACGTGGAAGTTATACACTCATTTTGTCACGGAGTACAGAAGAAAACATTGAAACATTGTGGAAGTGTGTTGCAACTTCAGAATTAGCTATGAAATCTAAGAACAATCCTGGTATGTAAGTAATCTGTGCAAAATTAGCTCTGAATTTTAACCCTGACTGGATGTTTGTCATGTTTTTCCTGGCAATCTCTTCATTTAACCATTCACGTTTTTAAAACAAAAAACAGCGCAATATGAGCCATGAATGACATAGAATATTCAGGGACTATAAGGGAGAACATCTAAAATAATGTTGAAGAAAATAAAATTCTATTATAGTTAGTATTTCTCATACTTGTCCTTTAGTCATTAACAGATTACATTGGGCAGGCTTCTCATCAACATCCTTTTCCTTATTTCTGTTGAAGAAAGACTTTTCATTTATCCTTATCCTAAATTCAAAATCATCATTCTCCACTGTGCACCCAGGGTTTAAATTCCCTATTGTCTTACAGTCTTATTGTTTATACAATTTTATACAATTTCAAGGTGTATGCGGAAAGCAGATTGCTGTACATTCTAGCACATATATTCATAAGAACAAATTAAGTGCATACATATTCATTGTTTATTCTTGTTAGTAATCCAAGGAACATGGTTATCTTTGTATAAAACCATTTTTTTTCACTATTACAAAGATTTAATTACATTTTTTATTTTTTCTTTAGGAAATCTATTAAACCCACTGTCACAGCAATTAGAAATGAAATTGCTTCATATACTATGAAAATGGCTTTATTTTGCCATTATTCCAGATCATCTGATCACTTACTTAGTTACTGCCTTTGCATGAAAAAATTATGTAACTGTCCTAATCTAAAGAGTGTTTTTCTGCACACTTTACAAGCCAAACCCACCATATGATGAACTATAACACACTTTACTTTTAAGGACATGTATATGTGTACATGTTTGTGCTGGTGATGTACTTGCAAGTAAATAAAATGTATAAAATATTATAAAAGGGCCCAAATGTCCAGTCTTCTCTACAAATCCAACAATTATTAAAACAAAACAAACAACAACAACAAAAAAAAAACCCAGGAACCAACCTCCTGAAAAAAAAAAAAAAAGAAACTTGTTGAATATGTTAATAGAGACTGCTCGGAGTACAACCTTCCTTCCAGCATTCAGGTGTTAACCTTGAAACATTAAAATATTTTGTGCTTTAGAGTTTTTTACCAGTGCCTGATGACTTAAATATTATGCACATTTTAATTATGGCAGTGTAACACATTTTTTTTGCTTCAAGTAGTGCAAATACTGGCATTTATCCAAGCTGTGCAAGTGTTAATTCTCCTTCATTGTATAGTATAGCTACTTAAATGAAATTCTTTAAAGATTTTGCAAGAATTCTTCAGCTTTGTTTCTCCTTTGTGTGAAACAGAATCCACTCTAGGACACTCTATRAACTGTCATTTGAGTTATAATTCTTTTCTATTTCCTAAAGCCAAATACAATATTCCATTCTTTATTTAATAGCTGTAAACATCACAAGAGGTCAATTTCACCATAACTTCTCTTGGAAATTTCCTTTTGAATGTGATCCAATTGTTCCATGTGCTGTTTCTGTGTGTTTTGTTCTCATTCTGCATAAAACATCCTATTTCTGTCCTTCCTTTTAATCCGTGCTGTAGAGAGGTGCTTTCCCATTATTACGGAACAGTCAATGCATCCACAACAACAGGAGGGAGACAGGCATTGTGTCCCATAAGGAATGACCTGGAGGCATGAAATGCTAATTCAAAGATGCTGAAAATGCAGATCAATGAGAAGGAGCATGAGACCTGTCCTGCCCTGTGACTGTGATGGCTGTCACCAGAGAGAGGATGCTGACCCAGGGGTTGTCAGCGGGGAAGGTTCACACCAAGGATGCAGAGCAGAGCAGAGGTGAGTGCTTCAGGCGGTGGGTGGAGCAGATGGAGCAGATGGAGAGATGGATAGGAAATACCACTGGTACCAGTGGCTGATATTTCCATGCCACAGATTTGGTCATTCAACTTTCACTAAGTGAGAGGTGTGGCAGCTTTCTGCCCTTGCAAAACTTTATCTGTGGCATTTGTTCTACAGGGCTCTTCCTAATGAGGCTGAGCKAGCACAGAAACCTCTATGAAGGACACACACTGAGAGATGAACTTTGTTTAATGACTTGAATAATTCAGAAAAAAGGGGAGAGGTAGACCCATTTTTTTCCAACTCCCTCCCATTTTGCTGGAACTCAGTTTCCCACATTCCTCTAGTCTGTATTAAGCTGTGTAATTTAAAAATAGGAGTGCTTGGAACTCCTATAAGTTATCACAGAATCAAAACAGAGGGGTGTTGCTACTGCAACGGTGTTTTTAAAATAATTGAAATGTGCAACAATTGTGAAGTTCGACTTTCAGAAACACCTTCTAGCAGTGAAACAGTGAAGTAGCAAGTTCTTCAAGTTGCACATGCTACAACTGTAAAAGAACTCCCTAATTTTAGATAATTAATTCTGTTTAAGACTTAACCAGAATCAATCAGTTCCCCTTAATCCCTATAAGTGCYTTTCCTTTCAAATTGTTACTTCAATTTTTCAAGTCTTCAGTTCACAAAGGAATAGGAATTAGCTCTGCAGACATAAAAAAATTAGTCATATTGATCCTGCCAAAGGTGCTAAATTATTAATAATCTGCCCCTCCCTACACAGCCAGCTTTAAACTCACTAAAAGCCCTCATGAAATCTCTGATGCAACCATCTAGGCACTGTATAAAACCTTTTTATTCTCCCCCAAATCTGTTTCATGGTTTAATGTTCTTCWCTAATTTATATTACTTGGGATATACATGGAGGAACATATAAAAATGGATTTTGCCAGTTTTGCTTTCATGTTTTGGGAGGCAACTAGCATTCTTAAATGCACTAAAGTTCCACCAAAGGGAAMCAGATAAAAAAGAAGAAAGAGTCAATATTCTTTAATGACATTMCAGCTGTCTTAGTTCTCAGAGCCTTGTCTTCAGACAGCCATGTCAGCACTCCAAGTGAAATAAACTTTATTGGCCTGAAGTGCCAATAGTGAATGACTGTATTACAATTGCTGATATGCATATTCTGGTGCCAGAGACTGCTTAGACAGAATGAATATTGTTGTTATAAATTACTCCTCGGAGTAGAGGAAAAAAAAGTAAACACTTCTGCTCCATTCTCAGACAAGTGGCTGTACTGATGTTTATGTCTGTTAGATTTGCAGCCTGAATGAGCTGTGCTTTCTCTGTAGAGATATTGCAGCACCATTTAGAGAAGTTCTTTCGACAGAGTGTGCTGTGTTTCTCCCATAGGAGTGCAATATCTGTGCATTCCCTCCCCTATCATCATCATCACAYGTACCCTGTGATCACAAGATCACAAGAAGGATGAAAGAGGTTATTCCTATAATGAGAGTCATATTCTATTATCTTAATTCAAAGTGAGTTGTCTTTTTCCTCTGGAAGTGTCTCATCATTTTAAAAAAGGTACTCCAAAAGGGCAAAACTTTGATACCTTTGTGCTGGACAACAATATATGTATAGACAATGAACACAAGATGAAAGTGCTACTGTGAAGCATGCTGGTTGTCTCATTATCATATGGTATAAAACCATTAAAGACTAGAATAACCCTGGTGACTCCAGCACCTATTCATGTGATGAGGTGCTATTAAGGAGATAAAAGCTCATCTGAACAAGTTCTGAACCTTAACCTGCAATTTTTGCACACTATATGTTCATAAGTATCTCATGAGCCCTTCTGCAGCTTTCAATTTCATGCATTTTGAAGCCATGTTTCCTGCTATGTGTCCAGAAACCTCYTGACAGTTACACTTTACCCATTCACAAAATCACGTGTTTGGAAGACGTACAAGTTCCTGTGTTGACACTTAGAGCAAAATCACAGTCAGATTTTAGTCCTTACCAGAACAGAATAGAATAATTCAGTTAAAAGGGACCTACGCTGACCAGCTAGTCCAATTGCCATTACCTTTGTGCTCACCAGGAATTTAGCAGCACGTTTACAAATATTTGCTCTTTTTTGTAGTGTATTTCTTYCCTCTCTCACAAATGGCCTTATCTGTTAAAAAATGTATGGAGTCCTCTGAGGGCATGGCCCCTGCCCAGCCCTGCTGAACTGTCATAGTCAGTGTCCTATTGCTTAGATACCTCCCTGCCTCAAAAGTAAGGGCTGGTCCTGACCCTTTGAACACTCTTTTTTTTTTTTTCWTGGGATTCCATGTCAGAGATAACTGTGAAAATTTAAGTCTCTAACTATCCCTGTGACCAGTCCTCTACTTTTTCAGTCCAAGATGAAGTCAAAGTGATATGAAGTCACATGAAACAGGCACACCTGATCCTCAAATTGGCAGCCTTTTCATGCAGATACAATGGAAGAGCCACCAAAATGAAACAGAATCAATCAGTTGTGAATAGAGATTACTCCRAATATCACATTGTTATAAGCCAAGGCACTTCCCTACTCACCACCAATGCAATTTCAAATGAAGTTTTAAACTAAGAGGCAGATCTTCACTACAAATAAATCATCATTCTTCCACTGAAATTAGGACCAGACTCCTGTTGCTTATAAATAATGGGTTTTGTTTTTTTTTTTTTGCTAGAAATATAAGAACAGAAAAAAGTCTGTTCAGATTACCCTTAGAGCTCCCCAAAATTCTGACACTTCACTTTGAACTTTTGCTTACTTTCTCTAATGCTATTTACAGGAACAAAGTTATGCAAGGGTTTTAAAATACCATAAAATTGATAGCTTCAGAACTCAGACATGGAGATGTCAACAAAGTTTGGGTTTAGCTCAAATCTAAAAGATCTTTGAAGTTTATATGTGCTTAGGTTTTGTTCCTAACTTTTGGCCAAGACCTAGACTACAAGGATAAAAATAGCTTGGCAACATCATGTAAACCCAAGCCATCTGCACCCAAATTAAGCAAATTTTCTGCCTCTGCTGATTAATATTTTTGGACCATTGCCACTGTATGGTTAAACTAGTCTAGTCTTGCCAATAGGATATTTCAAACAGTGCAACAAGTATCTGCATTTAAAAAGTACATCTTCTTTTTGAATCACACAACCTACACTTATTTTTGTGGCAGCTAAAGTACTAAAGGCTCAGATTTTCTCTCTGAAGTGCCGTCTGGGAACTTGAAGGAAGAGCTAGAGTCGTGAAACAACAAATTGTATCCAACCTCGCATGATTAATATAAAAACACAATGTTCTCTTTTTATTTAATGATGGGATTAAAAATTGGTAAACAGTCTGGGTTTGTTTTTTTTTTCTAATTAAAAACATTCCATTAAATGGCCTTAGGTCTACAAGAAGGAAGCAAAGAATGCTAGGTGATGTGGATACTCTACTGATGACATTTTTTATTACACTGATTATAGTTCTAATGTAACAATGGCTATAAGACTTAGTCAAAATCATAAGCCATTGTGCTAGAATCTGCAAATGAAAATATTATGAAGGAGGTCCAAGACCCATATCCTTACAATTCTTTCAAATCCATTATTTTGGTCAACTTAGTTGCTTGCTTTTGTATGTGAGGAGCATAGAGAAGTCTGCCTGCTACCACTGGACAGGCAATTTTATGTTTCATTGCTAAAAATTATATGATTACCCTAAAGTCTGCATAGGTCTTTACAATGTATATAGCAGAATTTAAATGAACTCTACCTGATTTACCTTGTCATCATATTTGTTATGGGCTCTAAAGGACCTCAACTGCAATAAATCAATTATAGTTGCAAATCTGCAGAAAAAATTGAATTACTTAGTACATTGCATTTCCTAGCTGACTTATAGCCAAAAAAAATTAAATAAAAAAAAAAAATCCAAAAAACAGAGTGCACTTTTAAAAAGGTCAACTCAATCACAACTACACAAAAGTGCTAAAGGGAGATCATCAAGGTAAGTCTGTGTCTTGACCTACTTTATTCTTTATACTTCCAGGAATAATTCTTTGTCCCTGTTATAAAATAATTTTAGAGCTTGGGAAAAGAATTAGGGTGAGAGCAGCAGAGACTCTAAGGTGAGTTGYAGGCTTAACTATGAGAGTTCTGTGTGCTCCTGCAGACCAGTTGAGGTGTGACAGAGAGGAGATATTTGGGAGTGAGAAGYGGGGCTCCACCATCATGTGCTTTCTGTCCTTGGCCTTTTCACTAAGGTGTCTGAAACAGGTGTCTGAACAAAGTTAATACTAGATTTTGTCATATTGACAGTTGCCAAACTCTAATTGGACTGAACATCTATCTGTGTTCTGCACCCTACATACAAAAAAAAAAATCCAAACAAACAAACAAAGAAAATAAGAAAAACCCCAAAACAAAACACCAAAGCAAAACCAAAAACCAAAAAAAACTTTTACAAAATTATGCTTTCTGGTAGCCACCTATGTCAATCTATGTCTTTTTTTTTTTTTTTTTTTTTTTTTTTTTTTTTTTTTTTCTTAAAGGAAAAGAGACACATGTTCAGTTGCTGGAAATCAGCTCATTTTTTTTTTCTGGTTGGTTCCAACTTTCTCAGCTAGTTCTGGTTCCAGATAATGCAAGTGAATACATATATATAATGAGGATGAAAATCCGGTGAAAGAGAGGCCATTCTTATCCCTTATTTATAGATCTTCATCACTTCCAGAGTGTAGACATATACAGGTATGGTGTAATCTGCCAGTAAAATACAGAGGTGCAACATACAGGCAAGAGAGGTGTCCTGGGCATAGGGCTGGGCTTGGAGCTTGCTGTGCCTTTTCTCTGCCCACTGTTAAATTCAATGATTGCTAATACTCACTCTTGTTTATAGACTCTGTACAGCATGTAACAGCTCACAGCAAAATGTTTAGATTTGCTGAAATTAATGAAAAGATACTAAAACCTTT